ACAGAAATCACAACCATTACAGGACTGACCCAAGGCAAGGTGATGACTGGTTCTTTTTTGAGGACTGCCCCAGCTGTGAACACTGAAGGCTGTGAAAGAAAAGAAAACCATAAACCTTTGTTCCTTGCTGCCACACTGATGCATCTTTTCCTTACATTGGCCTAGAAAAGCACCAGTCTCTCACTTGACTGCAGTCCCTAAGAACACAGCAAGAGAACTGCCTCAGAACAGGAACTCTGGGTGCATGCAAGCGGCTCTTCTTACTCTTACATCACTGCAATGGTGCTGCTAGCAGATGAGAAAAGGAAACGTAGCAGCAATTAACACAATACCTCACAACTCTGTGGGTTCTGGCCTCAAAAGGCACAGCCCCCAGTTTAGGAGCCCTAGCTGTGAGGAAACACCAGAGCTCACAGCAGCACGAGCCCTCCTACTTGCAGGGGATGTAGTTTTAGTCAACTAGTCCAGCTCCAAGAAACAAACCTGGAGCACATTTCTTGATTATCAAGAGTAATTTTCACATGCTCACAACAGATTCAAAGGCCCCAAGTGACAGAGAACCTCCTATCTCCCAAATTATTTTCTCTCTCAGCCAACAGAGCAAAGAATAGCAGAATTACAGAGGCTGTTACAGAGAGCACACAGAAGGTCACCACCACACACCTCTTCATAGCTCTTAAGGCACTGAAGGAAAAGCTGCAAACCCTTCTGTGATCAAACAAACACCACAATTATTCCACACATTACCAGATTATTCCACTAAGAACATTCTCTTCCGACTGAAGCCTCGTGCTGCTTACTTTTATTTCACTTCTTGTTAGGTCACCAACAATGCTTTTCCTTCATGAGAACTTACACTTTGAGAAAGATGGAGACTGCTTAACTGTGGAAGTTAACCTTACACATTAAGATTTGATTCTAGCTTTCAAATGCTTTCTCACATATTAAGAGTTCCTCCTGTTTCTATAACCTTTCCTCACCTCTGCAAACCCCCACTCATTCTGCATTTTCTGCCTTTGTGTTGAGTAACGATGTCAAAGGCTTTCCAGCAAACAGGCTGCTCAGAAATGCAATGCATCCTAAATGTAACGTATCCTAAATGTCACACCAGTAAGGCAGAGGACGCGGCCAGGAATTACTCCAGGCTGTAACATATGTACAGTGGAAAGTAAGTGAAACATTCAGCTCCATACCTACAGAGAAGTATCACTTTCCATCCTGTGGGCAGGTGGCACTACCCCCTAGTAAAAGCACTACAGCAAGCCATGGTAACGTATCTACAGGTAACATCATCTGTAATGCCAAGTGACACAAATTTACACCCTTTTTATTTCATAAATATTTGTTTTTTTCAACTGACTCATTGCACAGGATATTAAATAGACCACACAGCACCTCTGCAGAAGTATCACCTAACACATCCCACCTATACCTATTTGATGAGGCAAGATGAGAGGGAAAGAGCTACAAATGAGGAGCCTGCATGTCCCCAACCCCAAGTGAGATCAAATCAAAGCCAATTTTAATTCAATTTAGAATGGCAATACAAACAGTGTTCTAAGCAAAACTTGGCATGCACCAATACATTCTGCCATCAATCCCAACATCCAATAAAGCAAAAAGCTACTTTGGCAAGGCTTACTATTTAATGTCTCTGGAACCTTTATTTCCTCAGCATTTCTCCAGCATCCTTCTGAGGAGACTTAGGCTGGACTTCATCACAGACACAGCCTGCTTCCTTCCAAAGGAACTGCAGAACGGGATCAAGGCTGCAGAAGAGGTTGGCCTCACAGAATATTTACTCCTGTTTTTCTATAAAAACTTGAAAGCAGAAGAGCTTGCTACAGAGCTTCTGTTCACTGCCATTCAAAAACTTCATCACATAACTCACCATCAGAAGGGGCCATGTTGCGTGTGTTATGAAGATGAGGTTCTGTCAGTGGGGACACAATTTTCCTTCTCTTTTTAAAAGTAATGGTGTGAAAGCCAACACAAACTTGCAACTCGGGACGTTAACTTGCTAAAAGCACAGAAGCTCTGACTTTCTGCAATAGTGGAGAAGTACCTACAACAATTTTTAGTGAAGACAAAACTATATTGTTTTAAAAAAAAAAAAGCATGTTCGAGACTTGTTGATGATTTTGCATTTTGTTACACACACAACAAGATGTGTGAGGAGCATGTAATTAATTGCAAAGTGATTAAACTGGATTCGAGAGCTACACATTTTCCAACTATAAAGCAGCATAAAGCAAAAGGACAATTTATAGCAGTAATGATCGATCTGTTCAGAATTACATAACAAGCCATCAGATGATGGCAAGATGGGATCTTGCGAGAGCTGCATTTTTGCTGTGCTAGTTGCCTTGGATGCCCTCCCTGATGTGTCAGGGTTGCAGATTTTCATTAGTGCTGAAAACCACCAGCACCTCTTGTGCCTGCCCAAAATAGTTCCCAAGGCTCAACCAGCACGAAGGCCGAAAATGGAGACGCTTCCCAAACGACCTGCATTTGAATGACATCGCTTTGGCTATGTGACCCTCAGCACACCGAAACACGCTTTCCCTCCCCTCGCTCCCGCTCGAGCAGCTGCCTCTGCGCAGATAAGCGATGCTGCAGAGAGCACGGCAAGGACACGGAGCGCAGGTGAGCAGAAGCGCCGGCCGGGCTGCACAGAAAATGGCTGGCTCGGCGGGGAAGCACAGCGCGCCGACACGCACAGCTCCGTCCCACCTCCCCGGGATGCGATGTGCAGCACGCGCTGCTCCGTGCGTGCCCGACAGCAGCGACACGGATGGGCGACGCTCAGGGGGAACAGGGAGAAGAAAGCCTGGGAGCGACTCGGCTCGCTTCCAAGCCTGTCATTTCCCCGAGCGCCTCGTTATCGTGACTCCACATCAACAGTGCCGCGGAGGGCTCCTCTCCCTTCTGTCTGACTAAACGACACGGCAAAGCGGTGACGGCCATTTCCAAGAGAAGAACGCTCTCGATTTACACGTTACTTCTTAAGAGATTACCTAACATAACGTGGATTTCCCACTCTATTGTCTCGGGAAACGGGAGGCTCCGCCGTTTGCAAACCGACGAGCGAAAGAGCCGTTCGAGTCACGCCGCAGCAGGGCACTCCTCGCTCACCCCTCCGCTCCGGACCCCCCCCTTCCCTCCCCATCTCGACCGCCCCACAGAGCGCAGCCCGCGGCCCAGAGCTGCCGCCCGCGCGCCGACCCCTCACAGCCACCGGCGGCCGCGCCCCCTCCTCGCGCAGCCACAGCCGGCACCCGGGTCCCGCCCCGCGGCGCCCCGCGGAAGGGCTCGCTGTCCGCCGAGCATCACCGCGACGCCCGGCCGGCCGGGGGACAGCCGAGGCGAATCACCCGAGGAGGCGCCCGGCCCGTCTTCGCGCCCGCAGGTGCCGACGCTCCACAACCCGCTCACCTGCCCCACCGCCGCCCCCAGCCGCTCTGCGCCGCTCGGGCAGTTCCGCATCGACCGCCGGGAGCGGAACGCGCCACCGCCGGCCGCAGGGAGGGAGAGAGGGAGGGGCGGAACGAACCACTCGCACCGGCGGCGGGGGGTAGGCAGGTACCTCCCGGCCGTGGGCGCCGCGCGCTCGCGCGGGACGAAGCGTCGGAGCGCGGCGTGAGGCCGCCCCGAGATGCGGCGTCAGAGCGAGGCCTGGCTCCGTGCAAACGGGGTGAAATGTGAGAGCTGCTTCCTGCTGGGCCCTGGTTTGGGAGGGAGCCGTGCTGGGACGAGCTCGAGGTTTAGCGTTCTGAACTTTATACCAACCAAAACTACCACCGATATTCCAGTGGTTTAAAACAAACAAAAAATTGGCTAAAAAACCCACAACCCTGGCTTCGGTGTCCCATAGCCGTGCTCTCACCTGGCAGAGGAACCGAGACTTTCCTCCTGCCCCACCCTCCACGTGCACAGACTGCACAAGCTCGGCTGTGTCACCCATCCAAGCACAGGGCTGCCCCCCAGCACCCCTGCAGGAGGCATTTCAAGCGCCCCAGCTTCTCCAGCACCCACTGAGCAACTCTAGAGACTTGGAGCAGTGGGCAGCACTCTGCAACTACTAAAGCACCACTGATTTATCTCTGCGTACCCACTTACCCCAGGCTTACAGCTCCCATTTGAGAAGCGGTTATAAAACTAGAAATTAACCCTGTACTCGTTTGCACATTAAAAAAAAAAATGCAATCAAAAGACTTTGCTTCCAGGATACTGGAGAGGGATGGAGAAGCCAAAGCCAAGCAAAATCAATTTTCTCCAGTGCCATCAACATTATTGGCTGCAACTTCAAAATCGGCGTTTGCATGCAGCTTTTCTCTTCAAATTAATAAAAAATGAGATGGCAGCAGCTCAGGCTGCAGCTTGAAAGCAAGTGCCTGTCACCAGGCAGCAACTTCACTGCCGCCTCACTTCTGGCTGCTGGCAGCCTTGTTCGTCATCAGACCCTTCAGCAGGGCCCAGCTGTCCTCTCGTCCAACCAAGGCTGGTCTGGCCTCCCAGCTCTGCTCACTGCTCCCCCTCTCACTCCCTGTGAGCATCAGGTGAGCAGCTATCAGCTTGGACCTGTATTTCAATTCTGTTGAGCTGATCTATATAAAAAGTAGAGTGAAGCACGTGGAATAAAATGGTTAAACTCTGAATGCAGCCCACAAATCGAAGTGAGGGTATAGCTAATAGGTAACAAACAGTCTTCACAACATGCACTTTTATCCACATTTGTTGGCTACAGCACATAGGAGGGTGAACCCACACCCTCCTGCGTGTCAAATCCCTACCTGTGTAAAAAGTCCCTACACTTCTACCTGTGTAAAATCCCACACTGAAGATCAAAGAACCTGTGTGGCATTGCACTACTGCTTATTTCACTACTTCCTGCTTTTCCCCAACCTATATCCTCACTTTCTTATTAGCTTGGAGTTTGTTACACTAAGAACTTACTCCACCTTCCTCCAGTCTAATGATGGCATCAGAGAATGTCAAAATCCTGTATTAGGCTTTATTCTTTTATATAAACATTAACATTTCTCAAACAGATTAGTTAAAAATACAGATTTAAACAAGATTTTTTTTTTTTTTTTTGCAATTGCAATGAGTTATAAAAAACAACAGATTATTTTACGGATTGTTACAAGTGCTTTACAAAGGTGCAGAGTGAAGGCCAGTGGCAAGGGACCAACCTCAAGTGCAAAATGGACACAATACCCTCACCACGGGCATAGCGCTCAGATACACAGCCAAAAATTAACAACAAACCAACAAAAAAACCAACACGAGCCATGTGAATGTAGGCTCTCGGGATGCTCACCAGGCAAGCAAACAGACCCCTATGACAGAGAAGACTCATGAGACCAAACTACCAGGATACTTCAGGTTACATCTCTGAGATCAGCCCTAAAGATGCTGTTTCTTGGAAAATAAGGAACATATTTTGGAACAGTATGCTTCTCTTGTCAGACAAGTATTGCTTTAAGTCCCAGAATACTTATGGATGTGGATACTTAAGAATGCGGGGCATAAATCCAGCGTGGCTCTCACTGTGCCCAACGTGAAGGAAGGATACAGGACCCAAGTGTCCTTCTAAAGCAGTTGGCACTCCTCATACAGCAGGGACCTCCATATCCCATCATAACCACTGGAACTTTGAGAAAGTACCTTGGAAAGACTTTGGCATGAGGAAGAAGATGCAAGCAGAGGAAGTAACACTCAATATTCCTGCAGCCCACGATCTGAGAGTTGTGCAGCCCACAGCTTGTGCAATGCCCACATATTTCACTAAGAGCAGTGTGTCCTCTCTCCTTGGCCGATACATCTTCACACTCACCTTGGAACACATGCCATATGCTCCAAATTCTTGCAAGTTTTGGAGATCCTTCCACCACACCTACCTTGCCTAGGTACCAGTCCTTCCCACCTTTCTCTCTTCTCTTCCACCCCTAAAGACAGAAAAAAATCTATGCCCTGATTTGTTTTGAACTTAAGTTTTCCAGCTGTTAGCAAGACAAAGGTAAAGAGAACTGGCTGCAAATGAGCATGAGATAGAATTGTGATATATTACATAAAAAAAAAAAAAAAAATTCTCTACTTTATGCCTGACATTTTTCTGGTGTACAAATGTTCCCTACCCAGAGGATTTCCCTGTTAGACAAAGGGCACTACACATTAGAATCGCAGAATGGCCTAGGTTGGAAGGGACCTTAAAGATCATTTAGCTCCAACATCAGAGGAATCCTCTTTCCAAAGGAAGGCCAGAATGAAAGGGCACCTCTAGAGATGAAGTCTCACTATAAGGAAATAACAGCTACTTCTCTTGAAATCCTTGCAAAGGGCAGCACATAGAAGATATTTTTATTTATAGGAAACCCAGTGAAACCCCTAGAACATACACACTGACTTCCCTGAGCTCCTCAGATCCAGGTACACTGGGAACCCTGCATAAGCCTTTTGAGCTGGGTTACTCTCAATAGAGAGGGTTTGGCAAATTCCTGCAAATTCATTTTCATAATCAACGAGAGAGGAAAGGATTGATTAGCAAATCCCCAGGACATGCTTAGAAAAGAGAAAGAGACTGAAGAAAGAGGTGTATGTGCGTGGAGAGTCTTCATTTCTACCGTTTTCAGATGTTTCATATTATTCATTTGGGGTGTGGGCACTACATCAAAACCAACCCCCATCATCTGATCTACCCCAGCTGCCTCCTGCATAGTCTCATTACAACATTGAAACCCCAAGCTCGTCACTCTCTGCACTGCCTAGCCCAGAGTTCAGTGCCTTGGAGAGGGGAGGCTGGCTTCTCGTTAGCAAAGGCTGGGACACGGCATTACGTCGGCACATCAGTGCCCTGGGAGCATGCGGTCACTCATGCACATCCCAGATTTCTGAGAGCAGGGGAGGAAGTTTCTTGTCCTGCAGCCGAAGGGCAAACACCTGTTCAGAGTGAACACTACTTAGTGTCCGAAGACTGACCAGCTTCATTAACATCCGTGGAAACATCAGGTGATCCTGCAGGGTCAGAAATGGACAGCTGTTAGTAAATCCATGCTAAAACTTTGGCTTTTGAAAACTAACAAACCCCACCAAAGCACAGTGGATGATGCATTACACACAATCCCAATTTTCCCTACAACAGCATTATCCTGGAGGCAGCAGTGTGGAAAAACACAAATACAACATTACAACCCAAAACTCCAGACTTTCTATGCTAGCTAACTACAGAGCACAGTACAGAACTGCAGGCTGTGACAGCTCACAAATCCTCCATTTACAGCTGCTATCACATAGCCACAGAAGAGAACAGCATGACAGTACAGGCAACAAGAGATCTGATTGACACTGTCAGAACTGGGCCTGCATGAACACAAATTCAGTTTGTACCATCGCGGGGATGTCCGGTGAGACACTTACATTTGGTCTATTGATGCAAATGTACGAATGAAGGGCTTCCACATAGGTGTGCTGTAGTCTCTCCACCAGGGACTGGTCCTGCACATTCGGTCGATCTACCAAAAGCAGGTTAGAAATAAGCATGTTGCTACAGGCAGCATTACTAGACTTGACCCTGGTCTAGCCTCAGTAAGGTCTCTCCCCAAAACTCATCTAGCATTCACCCAGCACAGCTGGGACAGTCATTTGTGAATGCAGCAGCTATGCCAGTTTTCTCAAACTGCTCTTTTTCAATCACGTCTAATGCGTACAGGGAATCAGATCCAATTCCTACAGGGGTAGAAGGTTATAGAGACCAAAAAGCACTATATAGATACCTTTTTTGTCTCACATTTGTGACTAACTGAAGATGAAAAGCTGCAGTTATTCAGGAGAGAATGGGAAAGTTTCTCCAGTAGCTAAGCCAGTCCAAAAACAAGAACAAATAAAGAATTTTGATCTTTCAGGTCACAAGACACAGAAAAAAGATGCAAGGAGCAGAGACAGTTTCTTTTCAGAGCCCTTTCCTGGCCCAGAACAATGTTGTTCTCTCAGAGTACCTGTACTTGTCCACTAGATGTCACTCACGCCATGCTACCCATCGCAATTCAGAGATACCAAACATGTTAAGGGGACAGTAAAATAGCAGTTTTTAAATGAGGTAGATCAATACTGGCTGATTTTGCTATACACATCTTCAGAGAAGAATCCGTTTTACTGTTGAGGTAGCACTGGAAGATTCAGAATATAACAAATACTCCAAGCAGAAGTAGTAATGTGCTCATTCATCATAAGACCTTACACCTTCTATTACTTCTCTGCTTTCCATCATCTTCCTTAACTGCTTCCTTTACCCTGCAACTCAGTGCTGCAGCTTTTCAGATCTCCCTGCCTTTTTACCTGCAGAGAAAATGTTGATGGCGATTAAAAGTGCATATTCAGCATCATTGAGTTGCAGCTCATTCATTCCCTTTGAGAACTCAAAGATGGGGTTAATGAACTCAAACTGCAGACCTGCAGCAAACAGAAGAAAAGAGTGTAAGGGTCAGCAGTGGCAATTGCTTCCTCTCTCTTTCTCTCTCCATCTCACAGAATAAGCTGTCAGAAACACACTCAGCATGACAGGGAGCAGGGAAGACAGGCAGGCAGACACACAATCAGTTTTCAGACAAATCTATCCCAAAGACAAAATCCCACAAGTTTAAAATCTACGCTTTTTATTCCACACCACCATCTCTTTCAAACCTGGCAGCCCTATTGCTTTCAAACAAAGTTTTAATTCCATGCTGCTGATTCATCTGAAGTCTTGAGATGAAAAAGCAGTTCCAAGAGTTCCGCACTACTCAATTTCCTTTACCTTAAAAATCTGGGAGAGCTGGAAGATCCTGGTCTAGACTTACAATCACCTTCTTTGATAACAGCCTGGCAGAAGTACAATCACATTTATTCTGTCATAACATACAGATGACTGTCATATCGTGTCCCTTTGTGCTATGTGATGTAAAAGCATGCTGAAAAATAAGCCTTTCCCCCCAGAATACCATCCAAATCTCATGTCCTGTAGTACGTAAGAGCAAGATGGAGGGAATCTCCCTGGCTGCCTTCTTTTTGTCTTTCTAATAACCCGAAGAAAAAGCTGCCATGAAGAGCATCAAGGAGGAGAAATGTCTACTAAAAGCTGAAAAAGAAATAAAGTTCAGTTTCCTAAGTTTGGAACCTTTGTCATAAGAAACTGAGCGTTAAAGTTTGAAAGTGCAGTTGAGTGGCGTGATGTGGCAGTAAGCTCCTAGAAAGCCATCAGCAGCCTGGAGGGCCTAGACACCCTAAACTTGTCCATGGAAGGTACAAAGAATCACAGCAGCTGACCTTCTGAGTCTTGTGGACCACTAAAGCTCCTTCTTACGAGAATGTATCGATTTTGAATCCCTTCTACCATATCTATCTCATCCCTAAGCAACATGACTCTCACCACTCTTTTTCACTTACCCTGATACCAGATTGTTTCCTCCCTTGCTCCCAGTCTCTTTGTACGGCTCTTGCTTATTCCGTTTTTTTTTTGCAATGATCCTTCTGTTAAAAGCTGCTCTTGTTCTAAACCCTTCATTTAACTTCAAGTCACACACACTATTTCCAGCAGCCACATGAAAAATGAAAAGATGAAAGAACACAAGACAGGGAAGGAAGAAACACCTGTCTAATGCAGCACCTGCTTTGGCGAAGTCATCCCGATTATAGCTCAGGTCCTTCAGAAAAGTGATGCTCTCAATCTCTGGATTGTAGCGCCGAGATGTCTCCAACAACATCACCTGAAACCAGAGATCACAGTTAGATACACTTGAATACAGGAAAGAACATCACAGTATTAATAATCAGTTGAGAGAAAAAAGAAGAAAAAAAACAAGAGAAAAACCCCAAGTGTAATTCTCTCAGAATACTTCAAAATTCCAATGTAAATTCTGCTGCATCCTTTGCAGCGTCTCCTCCTGGGAACGGATTATAATGCTTTCCAGTGCCAAGGTGCTCTTTCCTCATTCTTCTCCATGGCCCTTTGCCAGGATAGCCTCTCACTACAGAGTAGAGGTCTTTCTTTCAGCCTGCCATCCCAAAAAAAGGGATGTAAAACCATTTCTGCAGGTGGGTAATCCAGACTCTTTTGTCTCTGTTACTACATACTATTGTGGAGACAATCTCTCACCTCTATGGTAGATGTCTTCAACAAAGCAATCTGATCTTCCCTCGTGAGCTCCCGGAAGCCAGGTAGTTGCTTGGCAAAGTCCACAATCTCTTGCACAGAGATAATTGCAAGTTCTGTAAAGTGAGCAAAACGCTGCTGCCTTGCTTCACGGTTATTAGGGTCAGGAACTTGGGGCCATGGCTGTGGAAATGAAAAGAGACAGCATATATATATATATATATATATATATATATATATATATATATATATACGTACATAAAATGAAAGATGAAAAAAGAATAGAAAGATGAGAAGAGGAAGCGAACAAAGAGAATAAGTGAGACACACTGGAACTAGTAAGTTTTTCTACAGAGAACTATGCCTCAAGCATTTCGATTCTACCCAAAACTTCACCCCAACCCTGACTCCTCGTAATTCCACTTCTTCCTTATTATTCTTACTATTATAAATTTCCACTGGTAAGAGTATTTACCGTCACTTTGATCCTGTCAGTGAACGAGCGCTGGTTGCACTGCTGTTGAGCAGCCACAAGCTTTTCAATCATGTTTAACTGTTCAGGTGTCAGCTGGTGGGAAGGACTTGGTGGCTGTGGAGGGTTTGGACGCACCACGACTGTCCGCGCCTGATCGTCCTCCTGCTTCTTCAGCTTTTTCAGCCGAATCTGCTCTTCAGACAGAACATCTACAATAGGAACAGCCAGAGATCAATCATAGAGGAACAGTGAAACCACACTAAACACAGGGCAGCACGTTGCAGATGGAGAAGCAGAGGTTCCAGCTGCCAGCATCTGGCTTATGTACACTCATGTACAGGATACAGACAGTGATACTTATTTGTGTCTCGCTCTCTTCTCCACTTGTTCCATTGCCTTTCTTTTAATTGTACTTCGTGCAAACATTCACAAAGGACAGTGAGCACATGAAGCTCCCATCATGCTGTCCTGCATATGTCAGAAATAGCTTTTGCCTCTAAGCAATTTCCCAAAATATCATATAACATAGTCCAAGAGGTGCTCTCTGCACATCACGATGAGTCCATTATATTTTATATAATTCTGTTGTTTTGTCTTTTTTCTGATACTGCTAAGTTAACAGTTTGTGTCATTTAATCTTCTCCTTAAGAGGCCAGATTCAGTACTAGATGGAGTTAGACCATGAAAGGACAGTCCTCTGCACAGCCCATCTGCAGTAGAAATGTACAGCAAGTGGAATAAAGAAAGGACAGCTTTGTATAAATCCCACTGAGGAGGAATGTAAGCCCTTCTGAGTAGGGCTGGAAGTCTTCAGTCATGAAGTTGAAGAGTGATACTATTTAGATTCAACACTGTAGAAAATAAAAAAAGTCAGGGGCATCCTTCTGGAATGTCTTATCAAACCATTTGCTCAGTACTTAAATTTATTTGGATGCCTTTAACTAAGTTAATTGAAAAAAAAAAAAAAAAAAAAAAAGATTTTTGATGTAGATTTCTGCTGTTTCTTTAAGTCAAAGCTGCAAAAACTACCTGCAGGCCATATCTGAATCACCCTGTGAGCTACTGATAAATGAACAAAATGCAGAAAGCAGACTGGAAATACAACTGTATTTGTTCAAAAACAAATATAAAAATAAAAAATAAAGCCTGACCTTGCTGAAAAATGCTTTGGTCATTTTTTATGCAGAGGAAACAATGAAAAATGGGTGCTATGCAAGAAGGCAGGCCCCAAAACTGAACAAGTATAAACTTCTCAAAATAAACTCTGATAAAACATGTAGGCGAGAACTAGGCAATTGCTGTGACAGTGTGTTCTGAGGTGGACAATACACGGGATCAGAGGGAAAACCCAAGAGCATATATTCAAGCTGAGATGAACCCTTATCCCAGACTTCCAAAATAAGGGAGGGTATGCATGCATGCACACACATACACAAAATGAGAATTCTTACAGCAAAGACATTCAGTACAATTACCACATCAAACATGACCTGCAAGATCGGAGAACGCTACTCACAGTATGAATTTAAGAATGGCAGAGACTGATTCAGGCAATTACAGTCCCTCGCAGAAGAATTTATATCTGAGTAACACGTTACCAAGTATCAGAAAACCTTGCAAACTGCCTATGTGCATGCTTCCTTCACCACACCAAATTCCAAGTAATCTGAGCCACTCAGTTTTCCACGGAGGAGCTATCAAAGCTCATGGCACATGCTGGTTTAAGAAAAATAAACTAGCCATGAGTAATTCCCTTCAGTCTGGGAATTAGAAGAATGTTTCAAACAATTTGCAGAGGGAATGACATTCCAAGTAAACAGCTGGGAAACAAAAATCTCATTTTTTGTCACGATTAACAAGGCAAATTTACAGCATGGATTACAGTGCTGACAAGACAAGTGGTTGATAAAATGACCCAATTATTCCTTCTGGCATAGTTTTCCTGAGCTGAAGTGTATCCTCTGTCTTCACCAAAAAACAATGAGCAAACACTGAAACATAATAAGGCTCTCTAGTAGTATCTACCTACAACAGAAGAGTTAACAGGGCAGGCAGGCAGCCTTACAGAATCATTTTTCAAGTGCATCTCTTTTTGCAGCTCTCAGAAGCAGGGGGAAACAGCGCAGAGACAGCCTACATAAAGCTGATCCAAATCAGTGCGGAAGATTAAATACGTTAAGCATTCTGTGTTTCAGCTTGCAAAAAGTGAAAAGCACATTTTTTTGCTGCAGCTCATTGAGGCTTAATGTTTTTGAGGAGTATATTTTAGAGATGTTTCTGAAATACTTTATGTTCTTCACAGTTCTGTTTGCTGAAGGTCAGAAAAGGAGACTTCACACAAAATTAATTCTAAGTGAGCATCTACTCAGTCAGCCTTGGTCAGGAGAGGGGTGAAACCTGGGAACCTTGTCAGGGGAGTGCTGTTTCTGATACACAAGCAGGAGTGCTGCTGAATATTCAGAAACAGCAGCCTTATGGTCCAGTGAGAAAAATAACTAAGTTCTCTAAAGGCAACGACAAGATTGAGTCTGCACAAACACAGCTGCAGTACCGTGGCGCTGCCCTTGACCTGTCACGAGGTGAATACAGGAAGTGCTTTTTGGCATTTTAAGAGCATGGTGACAAACCTCATAATGCAGACCAAAAGACAGCATACTGAAGAACGTGTAAACTTCAGCTGCGAGTCTTTCCTCTGATGTCACGCTCCGTGATTTCTCACAAAACAGCGTTTTCAAAAGAATACAGCAGGGATCTCAGCACATCAGGGTTGTTTCACCAGCAGCCCCACCTCCCCACGTAATCCCCGCTGAGCTCTCAGCACCTTCTCACACACAATCCAGCCTGCAGCGTGCGTGGCTCACGTGTGTTCCCCAGCGTTCACGCTGTCCTCTCCCTTACATCCACCCCCACTGGCCACCTGCCCACCCCCCGCTCCCTCATCCCAGCGCCCCCCAGCACCACTTCCTGCACTCACACTGCTCCCGCATGCCTGCCTCCTGGCACTTGCGCAGCCGGCACTCCTGGCACTTGCGCCGCATATACATGTCCATCTCACACTTGCCGCCGTTCTTGCAGACGTACTGGGCGCCCTTGATGACACTGCGGCGGAAGAAGCCCTTGCAGCCTTCACAACTCAGCACGTTGTAGTGGAAGCCCGAGGCCTTGTCCCCGCACACACTGCAGACTTCATTTCCCAGCATCTTGGGGGCCGGGCCCTTCTTCCGCTTCAGCGGGGGATTTTCTATGAGAAGAACAGTAGCAAAATAACAAACAGTCACATACACACAAGAGGGAAGCATGGCATTTGCAACTGATGGCCCCATTCCTTACAACGATCAATACGTTGGCTCAAACCCACCATCTCCTACATATGCGGCTGAAAAGTCACCCTTTTCACTCCTTTGGGGCAAGCATATCTTCTGCAACAAACCACGTATTGACATAATCCAAACAGTTCCATGCCAAATATGTAAGCACACATAGCTTTACACTTGACCCTACTATGGAGCAGATCAAAGTGATAAAAACATGCTCAAGCCCGATGTTCTTCTGTACATTCCATCAGCAGAAATGACTTAGCACCTAACAAATAGCTGCTGAAAACTGACCTGAAATTCAAGATTGCACAGAAAATAAGTCTTTTCAAAATTGAACACATGGGAAAGCCTTCAAGATAGAAGACAGCAACTCCATGCAGTCAGGGTCAAGCAGCTGACACACACTATGTGAGCTCTAAGAACTTCTGTAACCCCAAAACCATCATTTATTTTTCAAGATGACTGCTCCTCACTCCTTAAACTAAAACATTCTCACTCTTCCATTTGCTGAATCTTGTTACTCCGTTAAAAAAAAAAAAAAAAAGTCTTCACTATTGCCTTGCATTTTAAATGGTCTTGTGCAGCAGTTCCCAGTTTTTCCTGCCTCATTCTCATGGATCTTCTGTCACAAAATGCATGTTCTGAAAACATCTTTGGACTGCTCCAGTCAATACTAAAGCATTCTACTCAAATGCTCACTGATGTTCTTTGTGCATTCCCTCCTTATTAGCCATCCCCATCTTCATTCCACTAATTCTAGCCATGTCGTCACTTCGCATGTTCTTCTATGCAGCTCAATGCATGTATTTTTTTGTCTGTTTGATGTAATAGATCCTTCTATGGCAGCTTTCATAAACCATACAGGCAGAACGGCCTTGATAAGGCTCAGAAATTATTATTAGTGTTCTTCACTTCATATTGGTTTTCAGACTTAAGCATCTTGGTGTTGATTTTCAATTCCATTGACTTTGCAAAGGTCTGCAGGTCATTCACTTTGGCATGCACATCTCATTGCAGACAGTGCAGATCAGGAAAATGTCAGCAGAAAGGTTAAGCCTCTGATATTCTCCTCTCTTGATTTACTGTACTTCTCTTCACACCATCTCTTACAAAGAAGAAATTACGCAATGCCTGTATTTATTTCAAGTTACTCAGTCTCCTTTTACACATATATTAACTGGCATAAAAACTTTGACAAAGTTTTGAATCACGTTCAGATTTCTGAGTGACAGCAAAGTAAACCAATAACTGCACATGATGAATCCATCCAGCACATATCTTTTGACTGTCATTAATGGTTACCTAAAGATCTGACAACCATCCTTATGACTGTTTCACTGAGTCAAATAGGCTTCAGTTTTCACCTAAGGAAACTATTTTCCATTTTGAACATTAGGCATTTTAGTTATACTGCTTATCATTGTCATTTTGCAAAATCAAAGCTTGAGATGCATCAAGCTTGACCATCATCTTGGTACCTTTGCCTCTCATTATGGGCCTCCTTGTTCAGTAGATTCACTCTTTAATCATTTTCTCTACATTTCATGACTTTCCTGCATCTTTTGTAAAGCATTCATTAATTTCAACTAACAGTAATGGATAATAGTCTTCAACTCTGGTGTCTCAGATGTAGCAGTACTCACTCTAGAACTTCTCCAAGTATCAGTATTATTTACAGCTTAAAGAATGGAATCCCTTCAGCTTGTAAGCATTTAATAAGAGTTTTTCCATACCTGCATGCTTAGGGGGGTTCTCTGAGCCAGAGAAGACTGAAAGGCCTTCCTCCTCCATCTCAAATACACTTGCCACCCTCTTCCCATGGTCCTGTGTGCTGAGTTGAGTGGGACCCATGGAGGCCACACAGGAAGGGCTTGCTATAATCTCATCTCTGCAGCATTTTTACTGCAGAGTAAGGAGCAGCAGGCAACTTTCTTCAAGGTCTTTAGTTTTTCCCTGCTACCGAAAGTCAGAAAGGAAGTACCTGTGGAGAAAAACAGAGACAAAAGAGGCAAAACTTCAGCTACTGAGACTGTTAACTCCCCAAATCTTACAGAACAGCAAGCAAGCAGCAAGATTGTTTCCTTATTAAGAGACAATTAACTTTGTTTTTTATCAATATTTATTCCCTTGAAATAATATTTTAACAAACTGTGGTTAAAATACAGTAACAGCACACTTGGACACAAAACTGTTTACTGTCACATCAAACCAGGACAAACCTCCATTACCGCTAGCACCAGCAGGGGACTTCAGCCCTAATCTTTCCAAGCATGTGAGAGGGAAATTCCAAACTCCACAACCAGAGGCCTTCGCTGAAGCTTCCAGGAACCAATTACTCATTACTGCCAGCTGTGCTGGATTTTATTGCATGAACTCCAGAGCACACAGAAAACTGTAAAAGCCAATTTTGATACACTGATACAGCAACGACTAATTTCCCTATTACTAGCAACAGCTGAAGGCTGTGCCAAGGATCAATGATGCATCAAAGATGAGGATTACTAATCCTCCCCTGACCTATAAAAATAAACAGAAAACCAGAATCATATCTAAGGGAAACCCTGGCCATTATGCCACTCTCAGGAAACATTCACCACCAACTTTCTGGGGACACCCTTTTCCAGGACTTGGAAATGATACTAAAAACCATCCTTTTATAAAGCACTAACTCCACACTACGTTATGTGAACCTGGAAAGCGAATCCCACCACTTTTTCCAAAAAGCTCTACTACCCAAACAGAAAAAAAGTCTTACCAGTGAGATTGCAAAGACTTAGTGAAACTGATGTAAACTGCTAGCATAAACACACCTTTATCTGCTCCAACATGCATACAGATCACTTGATCTTAATTCTGTGATTTACCAATGCAAGCTAAAAGGATTAACTGATTTAAAAAGCAACTGCCTTAAAGGCCAGGACCAGTTTAACTTGGCCCATGGAGTTCAGGACTGGAAGTGTGCCACTCTCTAGAAGAGAGGAGGTGACAGAAGGCTGTGCAGCAGCACAAACATAAAACGTCAGGTAAACAGGGACATGCTTTACACAGTGCACTGCTGACTGGGAGAGGCAGAGGACTACTGCCCCAGGCCTCTTCTTCCCTCCTCTATATTTGGACCAGACCATGTAAATTCTCTTAGAGTGCCAAAGGCAAAAGACAAAAGCAGTTGTGCCACAAAACCACCCCCTCCCAGAACTCTGACAGCAACAGTCATCACGTACAAATCCAGTCATACTGTCAAGATTGCTAGGCTCTTGCCATGCCTCTTTATGCTGTGGCAAATAACAGAAGCAAGTGTTAAAAACCATATATTAAAAAACCACATATTAATTTATGTGACCTTTGTAAACACAGACTCAGACTGCATAAGGAAATCAAAACTCCCTTGCTTTGATGTACACAGCCACACAATCACTGCAAAAATAGACTAGGATAAGTGCAACTGCAGCAAATGTAGAACACAAAGCCACAAAAGAACAAGAAATCCCAGAGTAAAAGTCCGCAACATAACAGGTCTGATTTGCAAATAATCTAAAGAGATACACAGTTCCCAAAAGAATAGAGTGGACATCACAATTAACTTTAAAAAAATTATCCACAATAAATCCTGCAGCAACAGAAAACCTTATGGAGAGGCACAGAGCACCACCTGGAGATGGGAACTTCAGTGAGAGAAATCCAGAGCTGCCTTATATTCCTACATGTATGCTTCTCATGGATGCACAGTTTCAGATGTTTCAGACATGTTTGGACACAAAGCAGAAAACTGAGATGCCTGAGTACATCTCCACATTCCTTTAAGTCACGCAAAAGATTCACTCAAGCATTAATTACTGTGAAGAATGAAACACTGCTGGTAGTACTTGCAGCACTTCTTGAAGAAAAGGTCCGATCCTCCAGCTGATGGACGGAGTGACGGTGCTCAGGCCCTGCTGCCTGCAGGCAGTGACACAGCCCTGCTGCATCCCAGCCACAAGCTGCAATGTATTCCAGGAAGTAAGGGAGGAGGAGGGCTCCTCCTGATGGGATTACAAAATCATTTCATCCACATAATCACGACTGACATTGCAAGAGTGAAACTTCTTGTCAGCAGGACATCTGGAGCCCAAAGGGGAGGGATTTTTTTTTCTTAAAAAAGAGACTGCTGACTTCCTGGCAATGTCAGACTAGCCTGCAGGCACCCAGCACACAGCAGGGGTATGGCATATCAGTCACTACCTTCATGCTGTGAAACCAGCCCATGTGTTCCTACCTCATGCACCATCCTCTAGCACTTCCCCAACAGAATGGGCCAGACAGGAGCAGGAAAGATGAGAGGCCAAGGCTGCTCCTAAGACACAGTATTTTTAGTTTTGTAGATGCAGTAACAGTTCCAGGCTGTGGAAAATAGACCTAATTACAAACAGCAGCACTCCGGTGGAGCAAGGTAATGAAACTAAACTAGCCTTTTCCCCACAGGCAGAGGCTGTGTGATTAGGCAGGAAGTTAAGTTTCACAGAAATATATGACTCATATAACTCCATAACTCCAAATGTTCTTGAGTTCTGTATTAATATTCATGTTATCAGAGGTTCATATCTCCCGATTTGTACCACCACTTCAACTTGAAATAAAAAAGGGTGATGCAAGCCTGAACTAAAAAATGAACGCAGACTTCTTGACATCATCTTCCGCACTGCCTCCACCTTCTGTCTCGACTCTGTCAGTTTTAGAAACCAGCATTGGCCAAGTGACAAGAGATGGGGCAATCACTTCTCCAGCACAGCTTCTACAATGCAGGAACCTGGTGAGCATACACTGCACAGGGAAGCATGCATAGATGAAAGGCAAATAGAAACAATTCTCCACCTCATCACTCATGTCTCAGATTCTCTCCTTGTCACACATGTCTCAGAAGAGACGTTAAACATGTTTTTAAAATGTTGTTCCTTACATCCTTTCTTCCCTCTCTGATGGTCTCGAAATCAGCACTCCTCAAACAAAATACCAGAGAAGGGACTAGAGGGGCCTGGCTCTTGCACTTCATGCTTACTACCAGAAACCTTCACTCCTCCCTCCAGCACCAGCCTTGTCTGAACCCATATCCTCAGTTAGAAGACCCCTTCTGAGCCCAGCTGAAGCATTTATGCACTCTTTTGGAAATCTCTGACCAGACCTGTCCTCAAGAGCCACAAAACTACAGAACATGCCTATTTTCTGTCTCATGCTCTCAGAGGATAAGTAAAAGATATGGCTTTGAGCAGCAAAGCACACAGATGAAGAAGCCAAAGGAACCAGTGTAGTTACTGTAGTCATACTTCTGATAAAAACGTCTGTTCTCTCCACAGCATCTTTGTCTGGCATCTTTTTCTGGTACTTTGTGGGAAGAATTTACAGACCAGAACCAAACCAGATGCAAGTGCATGCCTGGAGAAACTGTGCTGTGGAGAGCAGGGATAATGAGAGGAAAAGCACAGTGGGCCTTTCACCTCCAAGCACTGGATGCTCAGAGGAAACAGTGGCTTTTTAAGAAGTTTATGCAAGTCCCTGGGATCTTTCAAAAGAGGAGCTACAGTCAGTGTCCTGGTAAGTTACAAAATCCTACAGCCTTCAGACAAGAGAAAATAAGCAGTTATGTTTTGGTTCTATAATGAATCACCAGTGCACACTGCAGCACTTCAGCACCAACAGAAGAGACCCTGTGCACGTACACATGTAGTACTGTGACTGTGCTCACGTGTCACATACGTGTGTGTCAACAGGACTGCACCTGTGTGGAATGGGCTGCTGGGGAACCAGTGTGTCTGAAGGGAAGAACTTTCAGGGAAACTTACAGCAAGAATATAATTTTGCATTTGGGCTTCTAGAGGCATTCTGACAGGCAAAACAATCCTCAATCTGAAACTACCTCTGAAAACTGAGTCAAAATAGGGGCTTAAGGATCTCTGCTGAAAGCTAAATTCTCAGTGCGCACACTGTGATGATACCTCGGGTGCCAATCCAAATGTCTGAGTAAAAAAGAAAAAACACCATTGGACTGACACATCACAGAACCTACAGCATCGGCATAGAACAAAGCTCCTCATGAGGCACTGCTCTTTCAATTCTTTCATAAGTACTAAAGGTATTCTGCTACCCAATGTTCTTCCTATGCCTTCTCTGGTGCGGCATCAACTTCAGATTGTCAAAGGGAGAGATAAAACATGAAAATGCAAGGTGTGCCAAGAAGCACAACATGACAGCACTGTTCTTAACATTATGTTTACAAACAAGGGCAAGAACTGCTCTATAACTCTGAGTGAACAGCAACTAGCTCCATGTCCTAGCAGCAGATTCCCTTCTACAGAGAAGTGCACAGCATTAACTGTTTGGATGTCTCAAGAATAAAGACTGCTACAAAATGAAATTAGCCTACAAGCCCACCTATCTCAACAACAATGGTAGCAAAGCTACAGCCTATTAAGAGCTTTCACTGGCTACCAAGCTAAACTTCTGCAGACCACTACCAGTTCCACAAACACATGGCACCTGTCCACAAGAACTAGCAGCTGCTGTCACTTCTGACAACCACAGAAAGCAGTCATTCCTGACTGTAGCCAGCTGCCCATAGTGGGCAGCACTTGGGTCTCCTGTCCCCAGGTTAAGAGTCTTATTCCCACCTCTGTCTCTAGTTCTGAGTCTTAGAGCCCAAGTCCTCTTACTTTGGCTCTTCTTCCCGTTGCCGACCAAATTCCTTATCACCCATCCCTTTGCTGACTTCTGGAATGGCCTCTGCTTAAGTGTTTGTCTCTTCCTTTAAACTCATATATCCCTGATCTCGCCTGGTTCTCACTGTGGCACTTGGCTCTCATGGTGAAGGCTTTCTTTGGACTGGCTCTCTGCCTTTGGCTTCAGTCTGTTCTTAAAACACAGCACGACGTCTCCTACCTCCAAGTACAGGTGCAATGGCAGCTCCCAGAGAACAGCTCCAAAAGTGACTAACTACCAGACAGATTAACATAAACAAGTGTGTGTCACTTGGCTGAAAGAGTGCAGGAAAGAGAATACAAAGACATAACGATGGTGTGCACCAGGATGGAAGGTGGTATTCTGTGAGATGGTTTCTGCCTCTTCCACTTAAGCTTATTAAGGAAGGGAAAGTCAGGCTACTATAGAAAAACACCCTAAAAGAGTTTTTAGCTTTGGAAGACTGAAGTGCAGTCTCTGTAACTTTCAGATCTTTTACTGTAACAATGCAAATATTTCCACACACATTTGTCAGCCTGTATCCAGCATGACTTAAAGGGTCTGGACACACAGAATATGCCATTATCGACAAGCAGCAGCAGCAACAGAAAATCCAAACCATTTCTGCCCAACAGTGGGGAAAAAGAACTGAAAATAGGACTGAAGCAAAAGAAAAATTTCTCTCCACTGAACATTTGCAAATTCATTAGTGAACTCAATTACAGCCATATGACACAATGGCACTATCAAACACAACACCATAATTCAGGGCAGAATCAGGCCAAAGGACTTCTGCTTTGTTTTATATCAAAATCCAAACTCACTCCTAGCCTGTGTCCCCATAGCACAGGACTAGCTTCTTTTCTACACTGGGCACACTGGAAACAGGGCTTCCCAAACTATCCCTGAGGTGAAGACAGAACATGCTGGCTCCAATCACGGCCAGAAACTTGCAAACTATGTAGAGGAGCTCCTCACTCCATCAGCCACTGCTCTTCAAGTCATCTCTCCCATGCACATCTCATCCAGCAGGAGATGCTCCCTCTCCTCTCACTTGTCTCTCTCATTACACCTTATATCCAAAGACTGAGGTTTTGGGTTTGCCCTTGCCTTCACCTCTTCACCTGAGGGTGCCATGTCAAAACAAGAAACAAGGGGAAAACAGTGATACTACTGTTCTCAGGGTGGGTGAGATCCTGAAGTGGGCTGAACCTATTTCCTCCCTCCCTCCCTTCCTCCGTCCCAGATGCCCTTGATCCTGCAGAGAGGAGGAGAAAGGAGACAGGGTTACTGCCGTTCACTCACACTGCACACAGGGTGCTCTCTTGCCTCTTTTCCTGTTTGCATGGAAGCATCGTTCCCTCTGACAAAGGAAGAGAGAAAGGCAGAAAGGGAGCGAGGGAACAGATAATGGTAAGAAAGGATAGATTCTTCCCTGGTTAATTAACTGAAAATGAATAGTAAGTCCATCAGGGTTGATGTGGCACCTTGCTGACAGGAAATGCCTCTGGAGGCCATAGACCCAGGTTCCCTTGAAGTCTACAAAACAGCACAAGTCAGGTTGAGGTAGCAAAGCTCCAGCCCCTTATCCTTCCCAGGCTTTCTACTGCCTCTTTCCCTCAGCTTTCAAGCTTCTGACTAATCTAGAATATAGCCATCCTGAGCTGCCAAAACAAGAGTGTGCACTGGTTTCTAGTAAAGAAGACATTACAGTAACAGCACCCCCAACCATCCTACCAAAAGACAAGCCATCATCTCCCAGCCCAGCCCGGCCAGCTAAGCCATGGCCCCGCATTCCAGTGTGGGGAGCAAAGGGAACACAGCCACATGGATTGATGCCGGCTTCCACAGCAACCACAGGGGAGAAAGCGAGCAGAATTTGCCATTTGCAGCTGAACTGCAATAATCCCCAGCTCCTGGCTGCAAATCCAGCTCCAACCGTCAAATGGCAGTTTGACTCCGCTATCAGCGCCGACCTTCAGACGGCAGGAAGCGCAACCGAGGCTCCAACAGAAGCTTCGAACAGGAAAAATCCCATCTGTGCTCCTCCCCGGAGGATGAAGCACACAGAGCAAAACAGCTGCCCCCTCCTCCTATCAAAGGAGCAAAGGGCAGCTCTGTGCTGCTCCCTGGAAGAAGGGGAAGGGAGGGGATCCAACCAGCAGCATGCTCTGCAGAGTGTTTGTCAGCATCAGCTGTAAGCGGCTCCCTATGGAAATTCACGTAGCAGCAACAGCGCTCTTTTGCCAGTGCCACTCACAATTTCCCCATGCAAATTAAGGTATCCAAACATTAGATTTTTTTCCCTTGCACATTTAAATATATCTATACTAAGGTGGTTTTGCTTTGTGTTTCATTTTCTTCCTACGGCACCTGTATTGGCTATGAGTGTAATTCTCTTGTCCTTATGACCACATCACCAGAGAAAATACAGGTAAAAGTGAGAACTGTTCAAGCAATCTGGAAAACTTCCTCCTGTGAAGTTATCTGCTAATCAGCAGGAATTAAAGTTATCCCCAGGCTTATCAAGAGAACACAACTCCAAAGAGATGGGAAATAGCCAGTGTCACCTGAATCAGAGATACTGGCAGTACTAGCTATGTTTCAACAGCCTGTTTGTTGTTGTGTTTTGTTTTTTTTCTTCTTCTTTTTAAATGGGGCTGTGCATTAGTGGAAAAAAAAAGATCTAAAGAAACCTCTTTCTCCAACCACTACGTACTACCACCTTGGCACCATATGATAGAGAAAAGAAGACATCCCTACCTGGCAGCCTATGTTCTCCCTTTCTGAACTTGAGTCCCACAGATATTACATCCCTGCTTCAGGGAACACAGGTTTGACTCACGAGAGGTGTGAGATGTCATCCCCACATTATATCTAAACTGAAGGAAGATGAGAACAAACAAAAACCACGGAAATAATGATGACTACCCAAAGTAGTGGAGATCAGGGAAGAGGGCTAAAAGCAGCCCATAGCCAATAAGAGAATCAAAGACATTACAACCAGAAAAGCAGCCCTGCCAGCCTTTCTCTGCACGTGGAAAAGAACGATAAATAATCACGTACTGCTTACCTGATTGTATCCTTAAAGTAATTTAATCTCCACAAAACTCTCAGGAAATAACACCCCCTGCCTATTCTAACCATCTCCAGCAGTTGGCATCACCAAGAAGAGATGCGCTCGGCTCACCAGGTGGTCTCAGCCCATCTCTTCAGTATCAGAGCCCAAAAGTGCTGATGGCTCCTCTGAGGAAGACACAGTCTGATTCACTGACAGATCACCCTCTCTCAAACTGGTCTCTACCCTCCAGCACCTCTGCAACAGAAGAACAAAAGGCAAAAGAAGAAAGAAAAACTGAAGGAGAGGGCTGTTAGTGGTACAGTTGTTTGTTCATTTTTCCTATTTCCACCCACTTCCTTTCATCAACATGCTGCATATCACCATAACTAACACGGGATTGTTTCTGGGAAACAGCTTTTTATAACGCATCTATATAGCACTTAGTATCCAAGCATCATCCCACCTAAAAGCATCTATCAAAACAAATACTACTGCTCATCACAGGCAAAAGAGAAATATAGTACTGGATTGCAAAGCAGGCAGGAAACTCATTAAGACTCCCTTAAGGGCAGTAGGGGAAAAGTACCAAGTCCCATTCATAGAAATATCATCCCTAGATGTAGCACAGAGGTCAAGAAGAAATGACAATACTACTGAAACACTCATATGAAGAACGTATCGGGTGAATACAGGAACTGAGTCTAAATTGCTTCAAAGTAAGCTGGACCATTCCATATCTTGGCCTATTCAGCGCTCATCCATTACCTAGGGATACATTTTGGCAGATTTCACTAATGTGGCTCTTAGAAGGGCAGAAGAGAGGCAGAGCTTTGCATTATACATCCAAACCTAGATCAGCAAGAAGTGATCAGAAAAATTGCCAAGAAACACAGTAGGAGCGGCATTTAGGGCTGCAGGGGTGCAGATCAGAAGACTTTTAAGAGCTCTGTTGGAAGGCAAATTTGTCCTGCTTTTGACTTTACTATCCTAGACCCTGGCCCTCATGGTCTATTTCCCCATCCCTGGATGCATATAAGGCCAGGCTAGATGTGGCTCTGAGCAGCCTGGTCTAGTGACTGGAAACCCAGCACACAGCAGGCAGGTTGAAACTAGGTGATCATTGTGGTTGTTTTCAATTCAGGCTATCCTATGATTCTATGATATGATTCTGCTTTGGGGTCAATTCAGCTAAACACTTAGAAGTACAATAACAACAAGATAAGGAGGAGGAATTATTTTTCTTTTTAAAATAAACACACAAATAAAAGCTCGAAGGGTTAAAGATCTGAAAATGAGAAAAGAGGATCCGTGTGACAGGAAGGGAGCGTGTGAGAGGGCGTGTGACAGACTGTGTAGCAGAGCGTGTGTGTCGATCCCATTCCCTCTGAGGTCCCTGGCCAAATGCAGAGCTGAACTTTCTGCAGACTTTGTCCTGCCAAGTCATGTTCCCTTCTCACACCGCCTGACATCACCACAAACACTCAGCTGGAAAACAGACCGGAGCGGGGCAGAATCTGCTGCGGCAGCATCAGCCAGTGGGATGGCTGCAGAGTGGCACACCCTCCAGTTGGCTGAGCTGAGCCTCTGCTCCTGCAGGTAATCTCCAGGCACTGGGAGCTTCACCCTGGTTCATGCAAACAGAGCCCTAGTATAGGGCAAGAGGAGCTGAGGTGCTAAGCATATTGATGCTTTTCTATGGTCCAAATTCCTTCAGCAGAACAGACTGCAACTCTGCAAAAAATCTCTAATAGGGAAAGACAAAGGAACTAACTACAAGACTGTCAGGTTTCACCTAAGCAATACAGCACAATGAGCCCACCGCATTCCTAGTTCCTGTGCAGTCCTGTCAGGCAGAGAAGAAAGAAATCAATGGCAGAACCCACTGGCCACCAAAGAACCATGAGCCAGAAGCTGTGCACAGATGAAAGCTTGGGCAGGTGCCACATGAAGCAAGCGAGCAAACATTATTCCAGCCAGAAAGCTCCTGCCAGCCACCTTCTCAGAAACAGCTGCAGACCTAGCAATGTAAGCATGAGCGTGTGGGAGCAGGTAATGGGGCTGCCAGCAGGCAGCTGGGCTTCTTATCCTGGTCCTTGCACCAAGGTTAAGTGTGGGGATGGCTGCTGCTCCTGGGACACTGCAGAAGGCACCACTCAGAGCAAGTACTGGGAAGTTTCACTGGGAGACCAGGCTGGAATGGGGCAGGACAAAACCTCCAGTCTCTCCTTGTTTTAACTTCCACTACCAACCCCAATCTGCTGTTAAAAGCATAACAGGAAAAATATCTTCAAAGTGCAGGCAATAGAAAAAAAAAAATGTTTTCTTCAGGAAAAGGATTCCACTTTCTCCACTCCAGTTCTACTTCTAGGAAAACAAAAAGCAATTTGGGAGCTTCTATAGAGCAAGGGAAAAGTTTTCTTCAGTTCCACAAAAGCATGAAAGTTAACTCCCCTCCTCTAAGACGCACTCAGATAACAGGAGCTCCTTGGCAGGCACTGAGCTCATCCATATTCTGTATTCCAAAACACTCCCAAAGTCGGTACCTGAAGGCCACATGCCAGCCTCTTCTCCAGCATTGGGAGCGCACGGCTGCTGAGCTGCCTCGGTGGCCACGCCTGTGCGAGCCGCAGCACGCTGCTGAGGGCCCCGCACCGCCTGCAAGTCAGGGCAAGTGCCATCACAGCCGGTCCCAAAGGCTCTCCCAGCACACCTTCACACACCCGCAGACATCCGCACGTGGGTTTCCCCTTGGGAGGTGCTCGAGAAGCCGCTGCGCACACCTCACCGAGAGCTGCCCATGTATAAACGTCCAGGAAAAAGCACCGGCGCAGCCTGCGGAGTCCTCTGGGGAGCGGCACGTTTCCGCATGCGTGACTCTGGCCAGAGACACACTACAGAGCTGGTTCAAAAGCCTGCACCTCTTTGCCCTCGTTTCAGAAAGGCCCTAAATAGACTACTTAAATTCCAAATGTTTCTATTTATAGAGGACTTCACACACATTTTTTCAAGATTACATTCACTGAATTTTTGACGACGATGACAATATAAGATAAAGCCTAACACAAACATGCAAACCCTCTCCAAGCAGTACACGGTCACTGTGGAATGTTTAAAGAACGCATTTCCTAAATTTGAGAAAGATCTGAAGTCCCTGGAAGCAGAATCCACTGAAGGATCAATCCATAAAGGACAAGAGGCAGTTTCATCACTGCTATCATTCACTGAAAGCTGGGGGAGGGAAGCACGCTTGGGGAGGGAGGTGTTTTTCTCTTCCAATCTATGAAGCAAAACAACACAAGGGAGGATGAGTTACACTCATTCTGAGATCTGGAAGGACACAATGACCGAAAACATGCAGTTCATTTTGATAAGTACAGATAACAGCGCCTTGTTAAAGCAAAACTGTTTTAACAGTACACACGCCAGCAAGCTCATTTTTTTCTTGTTTGTCCAGTGCTTGATTACAGTCTAATTATAAAAATTCAATTTTGCATGCTTTTAATTTGACCTTTTAATCAAACAGTATTGCAGCAGTCACTAGGAAAGATGTTATTCACCTAATAAATTCAAGTGGCCATTTTCCAACGTAAACATTTGCTGTGATATAATAGCATAAACTAATGTATGCAGACACACTCTATCATCCTGCTTAGCAAGTAATAAATTAGCCTAGCCAATTAGAGCAAACCTTGCTTTTAGGAAAACACCAAATGCAAAACAAGGTTTACGTGGATTACTTGGATCACCAACTTAAATCGTGACTTAAAATCAGCAGGTGGGAGCCTTGCTTTGAGCCACACAGCAGTGCTTGTCTCACAGCTGGACCACAGTCAGCCAAGACTCCCCTTTCCTAAGAAGGGCAGAAGATCTCACTTCTGTGCGCAGCTCTCGTTTCAAGGAATTTTACAAGTGTATTTACCAGTATTTAAAGAAAAACACCTTACAAAAAACTAGAAAACCTAACACACCAGGGAACACCTACTCTTGTCAGTCACTTGCTGCAGCAACCGGTGTGATACCCACCTAATACTGTTTACTTACATCCCAGAGATGTTTCTACGTGTAAATAATGCAGCTTGGCTCTGCAGCATGGATTTGATGGCCTTTCAGTCCTCCCATCCCATGAGAGTCCTCCTACTTAACCCTAGAGAGAACAATTATGGTAGCTTGCAAATTCAGAGAATTACATTCCTAATTTCTAACATAGTTCTTTTCATCCCATCATCAACTAAAGAAACAAATCTTCCCCTCCCCCCTTGACAGATAAAAGCAGGATTTTGCTCTTCCCCACGTGTGCTACCCAAAGTAGCCTTTGCCCTCCCCAAACAAGAGGCTTAAAAGCTTGACAGTGCATATTCCAACTCACTTTACTAAATGATAATGATATCACCCTAACATTTTCTTTCGGATTCTCAATAAGGCAAGCAATTTTGCATTACGGGAAATCTGCTTTTGAGATCTCCAGATCTAAACTAACAAGCCCCATAGGCTCCAGGGATATCTATCTCCTTCTTATCGAGGACACAAGAAATGAATTTGTCCGTGTTCCAAAAATGGAAAAAAGTATTTTGTCCTAAGCAGGAAGTCACAGAACAAAGCAACACGGAGCGCTAAAGTAACACATCACACCACTTTTAACTGAGATATTTTTAAGATCTGCCACAACACAGAAAGCCTCTCTTACTTTAACAACATTCTGTGCATTTGTCATACCAAGGCTTATTAAAACACAGCTTCTAGCTGCAGTAACCACAATGAAAATGCAAGGTCAAACACTGCACTTACATATTAGCAGAAGTATGATCTAAGACCAAGTTCAACCTGTTTGCAGACTGGATGCAGAACCGTACCCGTGCAGAAAGCACTCCCCCAAACTCCTTTCCAAGGCTCCTTCCCACTCAGTTTCCACAGCAGAGAATGTGTTCCTGCCCTCCTAAATTATTATGCTGTGAGAAAAACAAGGCAACACACTGCAGTGCAGAGCAGCAGAACAATTTCCCCCAGCCAAACAAAACAGCGTTTTTGTAAGGTTTGACTTTAATGCTGAAATTGTCATTTTTCTCTTAGACTTGCAGATGTGCAAATCCTACTGCTTGGTGGGGAAGGAGGAAGGAAAATGACAAAATCTGATAAGCTTTCCTATTCAACTTGCAAAGATACACAGATCAGTGACAACGAGACTTCCACAGCAGCTGCTTCCCGAGCAGAACATAGGATCATCCTTCAGTGCATTCAAAGACAAAGCACATTATATTTCGTATCCTTCCCTGGGCAGATGGGACTTCTGAGAAACAGCAACAGCTTAAGACTCTAAATTCAAAACTTCTTTTTGAAGAAAAAAAAAGTCCATCTTGATAGCCAACAGTCACAGAGCAGATCTAGTTACAAAAGACGGAACATGAGTAGTCTGCGCCCATCACCGTTTCTAAAGACTGGATCAAACAATCAGCAGCAGATTTCATCCTTCCTTTAACCCAACATCGAGCGCTTCCTGAATTGTAACAGCAATTCCTAGAGAAAGTACCTTAACTGAAAAAGTTGTCTGAACAGAGATAACAGCAATCCAACACGCATTAACACACTGGAAACACAGCTCTGCCTACAGGTGTGAGCTCAGCACCAAGCAGTGAGCTCCCGCCCATACCTCTGCAGCACACACCTGCTGTCCTGCACACCGCCAGCTCCTTGCTGCACCGCAGCCAGCAAAGGGAACGCCGTGACAAGGTACAGAGCTGCAGTGCAGCAGCTGCTAACTGCCAGCAGCAGTAACCAAAGGCACACTGCCAGAACACAGCAGGTCGGTGATAAAGTTTCCTGTTTGACGTTTTTTTGGTCAGGTGATTCATACACAGTCCCTGCTGCAGTGCTTCTCCTTGCACCCCGTTACAGTACAAGCAGCTGCAGGATTCCTCGGACAGCTACAGAATGGTGGAGACAGGAGGGGAACTGATCATTTCAGCCTCCATTTTTCTCTCCCAAAAGTTTGCCTCCCTCTGCGATGGATGCACCTCTGTAAGCACACATAAGAAAGAAAACCTACTGAACTCAAGTGCTAGATTCCAGTGAGTGACTACAGCGGGCAGCATCCAGCCTGCATCGCAGGCCTTGCAGCAGGAAGAATCCTCTGGTGAATGTGTCATGGGTGTGGTTGTGGAGAAATGCAGCAAGGCCAAACTCCATCTGGTCGTGGCATAACCTGTACTACGTCCAACGCCCTCAACCCAAAAGAAAGTAAGGCCGAGCTTATTAACACTCAGCTGTAATTTTCACACCAGATTTGCTCCTTTAACTGGAAGAGAAGACCGCTACTCACTGAAAGAAGTAGCAAACATTTTTTTTTTTCTGTTTGTCCCCAGTAGAGCCTGGTGCCTGGGAAGCAGCACACTCCATGCACCTTGGGATGAGCAGCAGAGCTCAGAGGACAGTCTGCCCTCCCTGCAAACATGACCTGCAGCCACAGCCGGGAGCTGCCGCAGCGATCCAAAGCATTAGTCAGGCGTGTGAGTCAGTGGCAGAAACTCCCTTAGAAAAGCCTTACAGTGAAAGGCCCAGCTGTGCCTTTAGGGGGAAGAAAGGGGGGATCCATGAGAGAAAGCATTCCTCTTCAAGCAGAGATCTGAGGGATGCTGCCATCCTGCAACGGAACACTTGCTGTTAAGAGTCTGTGGACCTTAACACAACTTGCAATGAAGCGGCACAACAAGAAGCCGATGTTCGCAGTTACCCTCTTACAGCCCTACACACACCTGTCACCGGTCTGTGTTCCAGAAGGCAGGTGATCGGAGCTGACAGCACGTAACAAGTGAACCAACAGCAATACAGAGCTGAGCCGCACAGACAAGGAAACGTGACAAAGCTAACAGAGTAAACATCACTGCACCTGGCAGCCTCTCCAGCAGAGACCCGGGCTCTCTGGACACAGGAGATGTGCAACGCCCCGAGCCTCGACCCTTCTTCAGCTCCTCCACCCGCCCGTCCACTCCTCCCAGAGAGCCCCTTCCAGCGCCGCGACCCCGGAGCCCCGCCGTCCCCAGGGCAGGTCCCCTCGCTCTCCGCTCCGCCCCGAGCCCGAGCGCGGAAAGGCGAGGCCGCGACGGCCGCCTCAGGGCCCGTTCCGGTACCTTCCAACGCGCCGCAGGAGCCCGGCGCAGGCCTCGGGTCGGGCGGCGGCGGAGCCGAGCGTTCCCCCTTCCCCCCTCGGCCCGCTCCAGCCCCAGAGGAAAGTTACCGGGCGGCGCGGCTCCTCAGCGGCCCCGGCGACGGGCGGCCACCGCTCCCGGCAGGTGCCCGAGCGCCCGGCGGCGGCGCGACCCGGCTGCGTGCCGCGGAGCTGCCGTGATGTAACGCGCGGCCCGGCCGCCCACCGCACGCCCGGCCCGGCCCGCCCCATTCCGGCCCGGCGGCAGCGACCGCCCCCGGAGAGCCGGGCCCTCGGGAGAACGAAAGCAAAGCGGTGCGCCGTGCCGGCCCTTACGCATCGGTCTCGGCTCGCTGTCCCGATGCGACGATCACCGAAGCGCAAGCAAGCAAACGCAAGCGCCGCCTTAGCGCTACTAGCAGCGGTTCCGCTCACGCTCCTGCCCGTGCTCGGCCGTGCTCGGGGCCGCCGTGCATTGCCCCTAGGTATCAGTTCTGTCGAATCAGCAGAGAGCCGAACCCGATAAAGAATAGCACAACCAAACTGGTACCTCCGGTTAAGCGCACGCAGTCCCGGCCTGCTGATACTTTTTCTCTCCGCGCCCCCTATGGCACGGCGTCAGCAGCGATAACAGGAAAGATCAGCGTGACCTGGTGCTTTCCAAGAGATACGGAATCACAGTCGCTGTAATTCATTAAACATTCAAGCACGTCAAACAAACGGCTCCGTCCAGCCGCTGCTGAGTTACACAGCCTTTTGTTTCTTAAGAAGCGACGCGTGACTCCCAGTGCCGCAAAGCACACTTTCTAAGGAACGCAGACAAAAGCAAAAGCCGAGACCCTCGCGTCTCCAATCACGGGTAGATAGAGACAGGCAGCACACATCGCCAGACACCCCAACCACCCATCATTTCCTCCTCCTTTCTTTAAGCGGCCCCGCCGGCCCACGGGCAGCAAAGGCCGGGCCTCCTCCGTGTCCGCGATCCCCTGAGGACCGCAAGGAAGAACGCAGCCGGGCACAACCTGCAACGGCAGGCCCAGGGGATGGGCGGCACGGAGCCAGAGCACGTCTGCACTCCTCCTGTCCCGTAAAAAACACCCGGGGGGTGCAAGAACACTGGGTAACTTTCTCTGTTTTCATGAGAACGCGACGCGGAGAAACTGACGGTCGACCCGCCTGCATGCGGAGCGAGGGGACGCTTCACGAGAAACGCAGCGACCACCGCACGCCGTAACTCGGGCAGCGCCTCGCGTTTAGCAGCCCGGCCCGGGGACTGCCCGAGCAGCGCCGTCACCGGGCGCGGCAGGGGAGCCGCGGGGCTGGGACACTCCGGAGCCGGAAGGCGGGCGGGGACGCGGCGCGGCACACAGCACCACACAGCGCCGCGAGCCGGC